AGGAGACGGGAAAGATGAGCTCCGGAGAGGGCACCACACAGCTCAAGTCTAGGCATGGAGAGAATGCGTTTAGGGGCAACACGGGAGCGAGCCATCAGGAAGGCTAGATGTGAGCTGCCATCACCTGTCACTGTTCTCATGTAGGCCACTGCGCCATAAGCCTGCTCTGATGCATCACAGAATATGTGAATCTCTCTCTCACTAACTGTCTCCATGATGTGCTTTGGGAGATACGGGCGAGGAAGCAGGACTTGTGCAAGGAACAGCAATTCCTCTTCCCAGGTTTTCCACTGCTGGAGTAGTTCTGGTGGAAGCTGCGGGTCATCCCATCCCCTCTGTTGATCCCAAAGGCGCCTCACCAGCATCTTGGCTCGGGTGGTGTACGGTAGGATAAAGCCAAGTGGGTCGAATTGGCTTGCGAGAACTTTATAAATATTCTGGATGGTGGGGGCGCCATAACTGATTTTGCGGTGTCTGTAACCCAAGGTGTCCGTGGGGAAGTGCCAGCTAAGGCCCAGAGTTGGCTCAGAGGTGTCTGATTTGTCTTGAGTGAGCCAAAGTTCTGCACTTGTGGATCTGAGGTCTTCAGGTAGGTGGCCAATGGTGCTGGGTTCATTACTGGCCCACTGGCGAAGGACAAATCCAGCAGAAGACAGGAGGGCTCTTAGCCTGTCCACTAGGTCCCGGGCTTCTTCAGGGGTCGGCACGCTCTGGAGAAGGTTATCAACATAGAAGCACTGTCCCACAGAGTGACGTAGCGGATCATCTCCTTCCATGTGGTCCCTGGCGTGGCGCTGCAGAGCGAAGGTTGCACAGCATGGGCTGCAGGTTGTACCGAAGGGGAGGACCTGCCATTCGTAAACGGCCACCGGTTCCTCGGGGTGCAGATCCCGCCACACAAACCGCAGGAGGGAACGATCCTCAGGAAGAAGGCAAATCTGGTGGAACATACCTTTAATGTCACCACTAATGGCTACGGCATGCTCTCGAAAGCGAAGGAGGACACCAAGGAGCGATGCGCTCAGGGTAGGCCCAGGTAGAAGATGTTCGTTGAGGGCTTGGCCTTGGAACTGGAACGAACAGTTAAACACAAGGCGATGTTTGCCATTGTGGCTAACAAGGTGGTGAGGGATGTACCATGACTCATCTGCTTGAGCAACCTCAGAGGGGGACACCTTAACCACCGAACCGGCCTGGACCAACTTCTCTATCTCCGCCC